TTCATTCACAGGTGCAAACTATTAATTGGATGCACTTGTGCAAGATGTTGTGAAGTCCTGGGTTCAGTGTTTCTTTGACTGTCTGGAAAAACATGTTCAATGTTCATACACAAAAAATACACTAAGTCACTCCACTCTACAGCATATGAAGTGCTTTGAGATGTTTTGGGTGACATAGGTGTCATATCAAAGATTATTATTATACATTATACGTTTGTCTTTACTGTGAACCCTAATTACTCCCCAGTGTTGAATCTACAAGCAATGAAGCCCTCAGTCCTGGGAATCGCTCTTTTACATCCTTTGTTTCCTTTATCTATTTTACCACTTTCCCTTGTGAACATGTGGATTGTGAATAAATATTGTATGCAGAATATTATTTGCATCTCATTGCATCGCTGGGTAATTGCATGGAGCTTTGAATTGTCAATCACAGTGAAAATAATTGCAAATGTTTTTAAAAATAAGTGTGTATATTGATTGCTGGGGGGATGGAGGGCAGAAACACTGAGTCTTTTTGATGGTTATATTCTCATAATGAGTAATATAATGGAAGTAATGAGTGAGTTGTAGAAGTTCAGCTGTCCTTTTAGTCTTTTAGTCACGTGTGAGCTGGCTGAAGGAGAAGATGTTGTTGGAGCAAGAGAACAAATGGGAGATGTTTATTTTTGAGTGTTTTGTTTGATAAGGAGAACTGTGCCTCTTTATATTTTTTACATTATGCTGTTTGATGGGATGTCTTTTCTTTGATAATGTTTGATAACTCGGTCTGTCAGGAGTTTTGCATATTTCAGAGTTAAAGCTGCATGCAATTCATCCATCAACGATAGTCTTGAGGATGTGCTTAGGGTAGCATCTTAGTTCAGCTCTGTCATTGACTAACATTGATTGGCACCATGTTTTATTCAACTCAAGGAGCTAAGGAGACCAATGACCTCAAACCTAATTTTACTGAAGCAATGTTTTGTATCATTACTCTACAGTGGGGGGTGAGGGGGACTTTTCTAATTGTGATTCCAAGTATAATTTTGAACTAAAATAAGTGGGGATTCTATAAGCATTATATTCATGTGAAAAGTGTTGGACCAGCCAGACGGACCACAATGATCTTTTCCATCCCTGTGCATTCCAATATTTTCTCCTGCAAAAATCACCGTGCATAATTTTAGAAGAAATTATAAAAGGTCATTTTTATCATAGGAGGAGACCTTGTCAGCCCACTGTGTCTGCACCACTGTTTCATCTGTGTTTTTTAAAGTTGCAAAAATAGCCTTTTTTTTTGGAAAGAATCATCTGTGGTATCTCCTTTTTAAAAAAAATCACAGGGAGTGAAGATGGAATGTTTTTTAAAAAAAGAATATGAAAAAATCTCGAGTATAGTAAATAGTCATTAGGTGGTCAGGTCTAGCATTCTCTGCTTAAAGGGGAAGGAAAGTCCAGAGTGTTCATTTTTTATTTGAAATACTAAGCCCAGTCTGGAGAAAGATACCTGCAGTGAGAAATCCTCTTGTTTCATAGGATCTATAGGTCATTCCTCTTGCTTTGCTGCTCTAATGGGTGCATTCCAGGCAGAAAAAAATGGGATTCCAACTGTTACCATTTATTTTAGTGGATCAGGTGCATATTATGAGCCTCAGAGCAGAGCTGCTGGGTACTGCAAAACTGCAGTGAATTGTTCATTGTTAATTTACCATCTTAGGAAATTCACCTACTCATACACACACAATTATTTTTCACTTTGAAATTTTGTGCACATTAGTTGGATGAGGAATATTAATGCTGGGCAAGGAACAATGTTTGAACGTAAATTTTCTTTTCAGACACAAGTCAGATGAGTAGTACATCTCCACTGGCGTTAAGTCTCTTTATAACACCAGTATGACATTTTCCATTTTTCCACACAAAACATGCTTGTGGCGCTTCTAAGTGAATATGCCAAATTATTGTTGAATTGTAAGGAGATGTGTCCTGTGGATTTAGGCACTTAGAGCTATGATGAAACTGCTTAATCGCGTTTCATGTTGGACCTGTGACAAGAAGTTAAGAGAAAAAAGAATAATCCTGTCAATCAAGCTGCAATCAAAGTCACCTCAACAGAGCTGAAAAGATCATGCATGACCTCCCTGCAGCATCAATTCCCTTGCATGGCTGTCTTCTACTATTGTCTTCTACGTTTTTTTATTTGTTTTTCCAAGGTTTTAATTTTGCTTTCTTTGTTCTCTCTTATCATGTTACTAAATACACTGAACTTTACAGTAAATCCCACTTCAAGACATCCTCCCGATATGAAACATAATAATAATCTTTGCAATTGACACAGCATCTTATCAATCGTTGAAACATTTCAAAGCACTTCACAGAATATGTTGTAAAGTGAATTGACTGTCTATTTTGTGGGCGAAACACAGTAGCCAATTGCGCACAGTTGAGTTCCACCAACAGTTGTGGATTGAATGAACAAATTATTTTATTTATTTTTGTTGAAGGTATTATTACCCCAGGAAAATGAACCGCTAATCGACTAACAACTGCGTTCCTACTTACTACTAAGTAAACAGAGAAAAGTGGAGTAAGGAAACTTACCTAACGTTTCTCCCCACCAGGGAATCGAACCCGAGTCCTCTTGCTAACCACAATGCTATGGGACTCCACAAATCAAATGAAAAGATTATTATTACTTTTTTTAAAAAATACTGCAACATCTAATGTGATTGCAGCATATTATTCAGTTATAGTGCTGTAATCCTGGGGCACTGAACAGCTAAACATCTCAGCTCACTGAGTGATTGTTTATGGTGCAGCAAAAGATGTTCATACAACAACTGCAAATTATTTAAAAACAAAGAAAAATCTCTTTCCACTTCTCCCTTGGTACCATGCACAATATGGTCTTTCCAGATGCAGGAAATGACCGTCTGTGATTCTCAAATAACTGGTGTGGTAGCAACATTTATAGTCTGGAGGGAAATCTGCCATTGCCGTCATCGATGAATTCACTGCAAATCTAAGGTCAGACCAACAAAAAAACTAGCTCGCCCAACATAACCCATTTTAAGAACATAAGAACATAAGAATTAGGAGCAGGAGTAGGATATTCGGCCCCTCGAGCCTGCCCCGCCATTCAATAAGATCATGGCTGATCTTCTGACCTAACTCTAATTACCTGTCCTATCTCCATATCCCCTAATCCCTCTATTTTTTAAAAATCTATCAGTCTCAGCCTTGAGTTTTATTCACAACCTCGAAGGAAAACCTTTTCCCTAGAATTAAGCCTCCATACCCTGAGAGCTTCCTGCAGACATCTCTCTACTCTCTGTGTTCTGTGCTCTGTCACATCTCCAGCGAACTCTGAATAGGTGATGAAAACCTGAAGGCTCGGACCTCAGACATTCTTGAATTTCATGCTATCCATTCAATAAATGGAATCTAATCCCTTATTTGTACTGCTGGAAACTATGTTTCCCATTCCTCGTTGAATTTAAACAGTTAACAGCCAATTTCAAGATTCTCCATGTGAGAGAGTTCATGGGTGAATTTTTAAAACAACCATCAGGCTTTTAATGTTGTTTAAAAAATGGACTTGGTACTTTCTCGTTAATAATATTAAAATCAGTCTCTTGGAAATTCCTGGTTAGTCCAAGTCACAGCCCCAAACTTTTAAAAGACCTTCGGTGATGTGGATCGAATTGCTGTTGAATTTCATTTAAAATTTTCACATTTCAAATGTGATTTGCTTCCTACTTAAGGTGTTGAATCCCCAATTTACACAGCACTTCTTGCAGAAACTTCTGACCAGAGAGAGGTTGAAGGACAACAAAGCCTCTGAGAAACTGCACAGAGCGCAGCTGTATTTGTAGATTGAGTCATTGAAATGGAGTCAAATAGAGGCTGAGAATTCAGTGCTTATCCAACAGTAATAAAGCTTGGAATACAAACAGGTCTCTACATCTGTCAGTTTTTGATTCTTGGTCTCTAATACTTTATGAACTGGAGCTTAAAATGTCACTTCCTAGCATGAAAATGGGCTCAGGATCCTTCACTAAAGGTTTTTGTAAAGATTGTCTACATGCATGCAATTGTGGACCCCACAAACTTGTTTTAACCCCTTCCCCCCTCCAGCCATTTGTTTTCCATTGAGCAGAGAGACAAGTGGGATGTTAAGATAAAGTAGGTGCATATTGATTTAAGAATCAACTTGAGAATTAATTTAAATCATACCAATTCTGAAATCCAGGTCTAGGTCATGCTGTGTAACTTATTTTTCAAGCTGCAGGACTTCCTCTATTGCTGGAGGTTTGGACAGGTTAGTGATGCCTAAAGCACATTGTTCCCTGTCAGTCATACTGGACTGACCAGAAATCTTGGCAGCCAGCAAACTCCGTGGCATCTGTTTAGTTTATTGTCAGGTTCTGTTGTCACCTTCACAGGCATGAAGAGTCACCAGGTAACAACTGTTTCTTGTAGATTGCAAAGCTTTCCCAAAGATGAGAATCTGAAGCTGCGCTCTGTGAGATAAAAGTTACCAGATTTTCACTTGCTTGAATTCTTTAGGTACTGTTGGTATGAACATCATTAGGCAAGCTGGGGCTCTTCAGTCTTGAGAGGAGATGACTCAAAAGGGGACCTCGTAGAGGTGTATAAAATTTTAAATAAGATTGAGAAAGTAAACCCGGTTTAATATTTTAGGATGCGCCAGGACACACGAACAAGAGGACATAGGTTTAGAGTTGTGGAAGGTTTTCTTTATACAGAAGGCAATTAACGACTGGAACAAGTTGCCAGGAAGGATGGTTGAGGTCAGAACTCATTTCAAAGGCAACTTGATGCTGTGGTGGTTGATACTAGTTTGGGCATTCTATTCTGGAGGGACGAGAATAGATCGTGGAGACGATGGCCGTCTTCATCCAAACTCTTCTTGTGAATGATCCAATTTATAAACTCAGTGGAAGTACTTCTTTAGTATAAGTTCCATTTATCAAATTATGTTTTGTGTTTTTCAGGGTCAAGATCTACAATGTAAAATTGAGGAGTATAAAGGAGCTGGTAACTCGTTCTCTGAAAGTCAGATCCTTGAGTGGTTTATACAGTTACTGCTGGGAGCCCAGTATATGCACGAAAGGTACATCTGCTGTTCATCTGAACCAAATTGTTTGCAACCATTAATATTGTGTGAAATTACCATCAATTATACTGAACATAAGAGGACCAATTTATCTTGTGGCCTTACTTTAATGGCAGCATTACTGTACCTGATGTCCGAAGGCACAGGACTATCCAAACATCATAGTTTCATACTGGATCCAACTAGGCTTATTAATTGCTTATGTTTTGAAAGCTACAGAGTAGTGCATTGACTCTAATACAAGTTCTAATCTCTGTTGAACAATTTCTTGTTTGCGGTTGCTATATTTAGTTCCTCTTCAATTCATTTACCAAATATCCTGTGGTGATTTCATAATTTATAATATGTCAAACTGTTTATTGTTCCCTTATTGTCTGTGTTCGACCCTTGACATTTTTGTATCTGCTGTGACATTGGTCCCAGTAATTGCCTAGCTTTGCTGGCGAACACCCAAATAATCTGTGATCATTCTCAACCTACAGTGTAGTTGTTCATCCACATATTATGCCTTTAATTTGGAAGCTGCTTCTTTTTAAGAACTGTTGGGTGGGGGTGGGGTGGGGATCAAATGCCAGGATTATTATTTATTATTACTTTGTGTCTCCCTCCCTGCCAGAGAGAAAAAGAGACAGAAAAGGAATGTGTGTGTCCATTTGCAGATATGGTCAGCAATCTGAGACCAGGTTTTTTTTTGCTTACTGTCTAACTCATTATCATTTAAAGAAGCAGTTAACAGTGACAGCTGAATGTGGCACTGATTAAAGTAATTATCCTACATCATATCCAGTCGAGGGCTTGCAGCTTTCTCTTCAAAACAAGCAGATGAGGAAGCTTAATTAGGAGAAAGAAGCATTTGTTCATTATAACCTTCGTGTGTACTGTTTACATTCCTTCGCTACATCAACTTTGAGAAAACACATCTACAGTATTTACAGTATTTACATTTGTATAGCGCCTTTTATGTCGGGAGGACATCCCAAGATGATGGATTGTCAGCAATTTGGACCTGAGCTGGGGTGTTGGGATCAGGGAGGGTAGAGAGCAGGGAGGGTAGGATGTGCCTTGAAGGAGGCAAGGGAGGGAGCAAAGTGAAGGGAATGTGGGATGGAATTTCATAGGATGGGGGCAGAGAGCCTGAAGGCTCGACCGCCGATGGTGGGGCAGGCTGGTCAGGGGCCGTGGAACAGGCTGAAGCCTGCTGAGCGGATGGAGCGGACAGGTTGGTATGGGGTTATCAGGTCACAGGGGTAGGAAGGAGCAAGGAAGTGGAGGGCATTGAAGGCGAGGACGAAGATTTTAAACTCTATCCTCTGGGGGATGGGGAGCCAGTGGAACCAGGTGAAGGTGGGGGTCACGGAGCCTGGTGCAGCAGAGGACATGAGCTGCAGAGTCCTGGATCATCTGCACCTTGTGGAGGGAAGAGTTAGGAAGGCCGAAACGCAGAGAGTTGATGTAGTCGAGCCTGGATGTTTGGATGAGGATTTTGGCGGTCTGAGGGGTGAGGCAGTGGTGGAGCTCAGTGATGTTGCGGAGGTGGGGGAAGGCAGAGCGGGTCATGTCAAGGATGTGGGGTAGAAAGGACAGTTGAAAGGACATTATAACCTGAATATCTTTGTTTTAAAGTTACCACAAACCATTTACTTTGCTGTAAATTGATGAAACAAGTAAATATGGTGTTTTTTTAATAAAGTATTTTTTTCCTTTTTATAGGAGGGTACTTCACAGAGATCTAAAAAGCAGCAACATCTTCTTAAAAAATAACCTTGTTAAAATAGGTAAGAGTTATGAGAAACTGTTCTCATCTTGAATTTCTCTGCCTCTTTCCTTCACCTCTGCTAACCCCCTACCAATCTGCCCGCCCCTAAGCTCAGCTTCACGTCCCCCACTTCATCTCCCCACCGTTGGTGTGTGGTCCTTCTGTCACTCTGCCCCCATGTTCTGGAACTCCATCCCGCAAGTCCCGCTGCCTCGCCCCCACCCTTGCCTCCCTTCAACAACTGTCTCAAGACCCTCTTCTTTGACGATGCTTTTGGTTTCCCTCTTTCCCCCCTGCCCTCCACCCTCCCCAATCCCGACCACCAGCTCAGGTCCGAAACACTGATTGTCTAGCACCTTGGGACGTCTTCCTAACGTGAAAGGCGCTATACAAATTTAATTTTGTTGTTGTTGTTGTTGCCTCCTACGGCAATGTAAAACAAATACTCCTTCCACTTCATATAGTGCTTCACCAGGTGTTGTGAATTGTGGTGACTGCATTTGTATGCAAACATGGCAGCCAATTTGCACACAGCAACGTCCCATAAGGCGCTATACAAATGTAATTTTGTTGTTGTTGTTGTTCTCGAGTCTGTTGTCCTCTAGAGCTGTGAGATATGCCTATCATTCATGGTAGATGGTGTGTGTGCAGAAGATGTATTGCCATTTGTACAGTTAATGTATTCAACTCAGATGCCAACCAAATGAACACCAGCTCAATCATCACCCAAACAGCTTTGTCTGCTCTCAAAATCTACTTCCTCCATTGTCAGTACAGCTTGCTTGGCTTCCATATACCGGCTGGTCCCTGGCAGCCCTATAATTCATCAGTCACATGTTCTGTGCCTATAGTAGATGAGAACTTTCTATGTAATAATAAGGATCCTCACATTTAATAATAGCGCCAACAGCCTACAACGTCAAGACAGTTCAGAAAGCTTTGCAGGTAATTGCTATGATAGTGTAGCGATTGTGTATTAATAGTTACAGAACAAATCATGCCAGTACAAATCACACTAATTAGATTTTCACTGTACCTTCAGGTAACCACATGAAAGTGCATTATGTCATAAGATGCATTTGACATCCTCCTTGCTATTACATTAATCCAATGAGTAAGCACAGATATATATAATATAACAAAAAAAACATGTTTTGGTACCTATCTAATAAATGAATGTTACACGCAGAATAAGAAAAGTGCAGAAAACCTAAGACCTTTTCTGGTTCACAGTATCCTTGAAGTCAACTTTGTTTATAGTGATTTGTTGTCTCATATCTGCTGCTGGAGTTCTCAAAAGGTGAAACCTCTGGTTATGATAGAATAGAATGCTCACAAAGTCCTGGAAAGTTTTGATATTTTAGTTGAAAATTGATTTTTTAAAAATTCTTTTTTTAAAATTTTGTACTCGTCATGGTAAAGTTTGTTAATATCTGAGCAGCTCCAGCTTGGGAAACAGCCAATTTTAACATCATTCCGCATGCACTACATTGTCTGCTCAGAACTTTTCAGCTTCTATTCTATGGAAATGGTCTTCGAGTTCAGTTGCTGCACAGCTTCAGTTACCCAACTACTTGTTTTTGTGTACATTTTACTGGAACACATTGTGCCAGTGTTGTTTCAGATGAATACTAACTCACAGCTATTACACTGATTTAAAATGGATCCTCGAACCCACCTTTAAACAACTAGGTCGCAAGACATGTCACTCTTTGTGGCATGGTAAACTACCTTGAATTTGTAGTATAATGCAAGAGTGATAATACAAAGGATTAAAAGTAGCAAAGGTAAATTCTCAGAATTCACTGCCAGTGCCCCACTGCTTTACTAAATGTTGTGACTTATTAAGCAGCTGCAGAGGTAATTGAGTGAAATGTTCACTGAAGTATTAAAGTTGAAGTGATGGAGGCCACAAATGCTGAACTCTTCATGGTGGGTTTGTACATAACTCTTAGTTATTTGTGAATGTTATTTTTTACCTTTGATTTCCAATAAAATGATTAACAAAATAAACCACAACAATTGTTTCCTTGAACCCAAGGAACCAATAACACACAATAGCATTGGACTTTGAAAACAATCATAATCCTTGCATTTTATATAGCGCCTTATCACGGCTTCACAACATCTCAAAGCGCTTCACAGAATATACGGTAAAATGAATTGATTGTATATTTTGTGGGCGAAATTCATATCTTCAGTGAACCTAAAGGTAGTTAAGGGTTATTGATTTTCCTCTCATTTGTTTTCCCTTGAATTCATTGACTGCTCAAGAGAAACACTCTAGCTTTGAAAAACAATGGTGGTTGAAAATTGTATGAGAATTGAAGCTATTTGTCTGTTTCCCTAAACACATACATGACTGGAACATGGATCAACATTTCCTAACTATTCCCAATGCATGAAGCGAACGTTGCCTATATAGTGCTGAATATTTACAGCCAGAAAAAGAACGTAGTGGTACAATGAATACATCTGTTTTACAGTCTGAAGACAATCGCAAACTACAGTACTTATATCATTGATGTCTATGATTCAGTAGAATTGCTTCTCGCCTCAAAAGAGAAAGCCACATTCAACAAGTCAATTTAAATAATGAGAAATCTCTGTAAGAGCAGTTCAATAGAAAGCTGTTTTCTATTCAAGTTCATGCACTTTTTAGTTAGACATTGGCCTTTATCTTTATTTCTTGATTCCGATATTGCTGAACCAATAACCTTTAGGCCTAATACTGTATTTGGCAGTATTTTAGGGTGGCAGGTTTTGAAAAAGGATTGAGCAAATTGAAACATTATACATTACCAATTGGCTCCATGTTTCGCCTACAAAATATACAGTCAATCTACTGTACAGTATATTCTGTGAAGCGCTTTGAAATGTCTCACCAACATAATACAACAACAACAAATTGCACTTGTATAGCGCACTCCACATAGGGTAGCATCTCAGAGCACTTAACAGGGGCGGAGCCGGACTCCGAGACAGGATTGAGGTGGGGGGAAGTGGCTGTAAGCCCGGTCGAAGAGGAAGATTTTCAGGCGGAACTTGAAAAAGGGAAGAGAGCGGGGAAGGCGGAGGGATTGAGGGGAATGTTCCAGAGTTTCGAGGTGTAGTGGCTGAAAGCGCGACCTTCGATGGTGGGGTGGAGGGTGCGAGGGACGAGCAGGAGGCTGGTGCCAGTTGAGCGGAGGCGCCAGGTGATGGATTGGGGAGTGAGGAGGTCGGAGAGGTAGTGAGGTGCCAGATAGTGAAGGGATTTGAACAGAAGTGTGTGGATCTTGAGGTTGATCCGTTCAGTGATGGGGAGCCAGTGGAGCCTGGGCAGAACTGTTGAGATGTGGGTACCGAGTTTGGTCCAGGTCAGTATGTGGGCAGCAGAGTTCTGAGTGAGCTGGATCTTGTGAATAATGGAGCTGGGAAGACGCGTGAGAAGTGCGTTTGAATACTCCAGGTGGGGGTTAACTAACGCATGCATGAGGATTTCGGCTGCATTTGGGGTAAGGTACAGTCGGAGGTGGGCAATGTGGCAGAGATGGAAGAAGGAGGTGCTGGTCAGGGACCGGATGTGGGGAAGGAAGGACAACTGGAGGTCAAATCGGATTGCGCACTGGTTCGGTGAGTCTGAGGGAGAGTCAGTGAGTTGATCCACAGGATCTCAGCTACCGAAGGTTTGCACTCATCCAGGCCCTGATGTTTGCTAGACAAGCTAATAGAACATCTGCGGACCTGGAGTTGGTACTGGAGGAGGCAAAGTAAATTTGTGTATCATCCGCATACATGTGGATAAGGCGCTTTATTAAATGCAAGGATTTTTATAGAGCTCAAGTGCTCATAATTTTATTGGGAAAGGTTGGTGCAGGAGTTTCAACTCAACAATGCACATGAGATAGATGTAAAGGTTTGTTGATGTAAAGATGGTTCAACATCAAATTATGTGGAGTCCTGTAGCCCAGTGGTTAGAGCACTCGCTTTGCGAGCGAGAGACCTGAGTTCAGTTCCAGGCGTGGCGAAACCGTGGGCATTTTTCCTTACTCCACACGCCAAATAATAATGCCTCGAAAACCAAAAACCAATAATAAATTGGTCATTTTCAATCTACGACTGTGTGTGGGACATTGCTGTGCGCAATTGGCTGCCGCCTTCGCCCACAAACATACAGTCAATTCACTTTATGGTGTGTTCTGTGAAGCGCTTTGGGATGTCCTCCCGACGTGAAAAGCTCTATTTCAAATGCAAGAATTATTATTATTATTAAAACAATGAAAAGACAGAAAAAAATTCTGCCCTTAAATATCATGGAGATTGAAAAAGGCAAATGTTCACCAAACAGGTGAGAAATATTGTGGAAATTGTTGCCAATCTTTGGCTGGTCATTCCTCCTTACAATGGCAGAAATGTAATTATTGTGCATTAACATTTGTATATTATTACTGAAAACAATGATACAAAATATACATGAAACTCTCAGTTTGTTTTGGATATTCTTAAGTATGGTGATAGGTTTCTGCATGTGCCAGACACCCCACTGACCAAAATATTAGTTAGCATTTTTAACATAAACCTAATTTTGACAAATGTTTCCATTTGTGTTGGGGGTGCATAAAACTATCACGAATAACTGTACAAGGGAGTCCCCTTTGTCCATGTCTTATTCTACTTGTGCCTTGCACCATCAGTTACAAACAGTCCAGGTGCCTTTCTTTTCCCAGCCCCCAGCAAGTTCTGCTCTGACACCAGCATTCCATCATCACTTGCAGCTTAATCAAAAAGTTTTGGGATTGAAAAAGTGCGGTTCTTGAAAGCAATCAAGATGCATCGCTAGTGTCTGCTTTCTGGAAAATGCCCTTTGTGATGTGAGCTGTACTTCGAGACTTAGATTGCTCTTTCTGAAGGGAAACTCTGGTGTGTCATGTGGACTTGTGAAGTCTTAGCTTTGACCAGAGGTGACCTCTGTGGTAAGGTGTTGTGTGACATGATGTGGGACCAAGCTGAAATTGGAGTTTATCTTGCAAAGTGCTGTCTGCGATAGTCATGGCCTAGAGCATTACCACTGTAATGAGGAGAGTTTTTTCATCCTCATTGTCGCTGTGCTACAGAGGGAAATCAACTAAAAGAGACAGATAAAAACTCAATGGACTGATGAAAATAATCCTTTATTTTTGTGCCTGATTTTTAAAAATGGTTAACGATGGCAAGACTTCATCCTTAATGGGCTCTGTGGAAAGCAATATGGCTTTAAGCAATGCAGTCCCATCACAACAAAAATATTCTTTTTTTTTTCATGATTGAGCGAACCTGTCTCTCATCTGTGATATAGTGAATGCTATGGAAAGTGAAGTGGAGAGTACATTATCCACAATTGTCGACAGTCTGCGGTCTGTGCAATGCTGATGAATGTCTCCTTTGCATGCCAGAGGCATTTGGTTTCCTTTCAGCGAACCTTTGGTACAGAAGTTTAACAGAACTTGAGCTGGTTTGATGTGAGTTGGATATATTGGTGGAAGATAAGATGTAAGTGCAGTTGGAGTTGAAATAGAATGATTTCAGTGTGCAACAGCATACCCTGTGTACAGAGAATTATTTAGCTATATTGGCCCGGCTGTAGATAGAACTGCAGAAATATATGGCATGTATGTTACAACCCACAATAACAGGCCATTCGGCCCTTTTTTTGTGTAGGTGTTTGCTCCTCCAAGAAGCTATCCATCCTAATTTCTTTCCCTATATCCTCTAAAGTACCATTCCTCTGCATGAGGTTGTAAAATTTTTTTATGTCAACCCCAATCAACTGTAGTCTAACAGACACCCATGGAAAATCATTCTATATGCTGACAACAGAGGAAGCTCTTCGGCAACTCTCCTTTTACTCTCTTCAGTCTCTGGCACCTCCCTACCTCTCCGACCTCCTCACTTCCCAATCCACCACCCGGTATCTTGGTTCGACTAGCACCGGCCTCCTACTCGTCCCTCGCACCCTCCGCCCCACCAGGTTGCACTTTTATCCACTACGCCCCAAAACTCTGGAAAATTCTCCCTTAATCTCTCTGCCTTGCCCCCTCTCTCCCCTTTTTCAGGTCCCACTTGAAAACCTTCCTCTTCGTCCTTGCTTACGGCCACTTGCCCCTCCCTGGCTTGGAGTCAGGGTTCGTCACTGTTTAGTGCTTTGAGACGCTACCCTGCGTGGAAGGTGCTATTTATGGGCAAGTTGTTGTTGTTACTCCCACAATTACAATCTTGAATTTGTTAATTATTAATTAATTAATTAATTAATTAATTGTTTTTTTTTAGAATTTGAAATTAAAGCTGCCTTCACCTCCAAAGTGCTTAGTGACAGTCAGCGTAGGCCGGAGTCCTCCCTCCCTGTAGTCGCTTCCTATGTAGATTTCTCATATGTGGACCTGGATTAAGCAGCTGGCGCTGAGTAAGGCTGGTATGTGGCCTTGGACTTCAAGAACATCAAGGTGGCTAGCATGTCACAAGCTGTCCTGTAAAGCTCCACCCACCTTGCTGAAGCTCGCCAGATAGCTGATGAGGAAAGTGTTACCTGGAGTCCGAGTTTGTAAACACACGTTCATACATCCAGGACCGGGAATCCACCTTGTTTGGCCTCCTGAGAGGCAAGCACCTCCTGCTTAAACTCCGCACCATAAATTAATGGAACCATTGCTCAATGGGAAGGGATGTGTGCCCGAGCTGCGGACAGGAAGACAGTGGCAAAGCTCTCACCTATTTCATGTTGAGATGCATTGCCCACTGGGAAGCTCACAAGGAGTTCCTTGTACCTACCATCCACCTAGTGAGGACTCAAACTAGCACCTGTCAGATGTTGAACGACCAACTAGTGACGGTCCTCCTTGGGGGGCAGTGGGTGGGTAATTGGGGTCTCCTTGGAGTTGAACTGACTCTAAGGTGACATACCTGGCAACAAAAATTGGGAATCAAGCCAGCCCTCTGCAGTACCCCAACGCACATTCTGGGGTCCCCAATCCTCCTTGGAGCTGAGTTGGCCTGGAATGTTACTCTCTCTGTGTAAAGTGCCACATGCTGTTACTCTCTCTGTGTAAAGTGCCTCATGCTGTTACTCTCTCTGTGCATTGGATGTCGGGTGCCTTTAAGTTCATCTTGAATAAAATCTGCGGGTCTTCATTCTGAGTGGTAATTGATGAGTTTGTATAAACAAGAGCAGGCAGTTGTGAAGTTTTTGAAAAGCAGCCATCTTCCCTTTTCCTCTGCTGGAGAAAATAAAAGGTTTATACGAGTAGGAATAGCAACTTACCTTTGGTAACATGCCATATCCTCTTCACATCACATCAAGACCAGTTGTCATATTATATGAGATGAAATGGGCCAAAGGGTCTTTTTCATCCAAACCAATCTTGTGACCTTGTAACATAGAAATTTACAGCAAAGAAGAAGGCCATTTGGCCCATTGTGTCTGTGTTGTGACTTTAAAGAGTAATCGTTTCAGTCCCATTTACCTGCCGTTTCCCCATACCCCTGTAAATCCTTTTTAGGTATTTATCAAGTCCCCTTTTGAAAACTAATATGGATTCTGCATCAACCATTGCTCCTGGCACCGCTTTCTATATCCTAACTATTCTGTATGTGAAACAATTTCTCCTAACCTATTTGCTAGTTTGCTAGCTGTCATAAATTGATGCCCTCCAGTTACGGACTCACTAACCATCACTGACTCACCAGATCTCATAAATTTGCTTGTAGTACAGTTTTTATATGTAATATACACAAAGTGTGTGATATAACCCCAGGCTTCTCTTTTCTACCACAAAACGTCTCCTCCGTCCACCTTCCCACGCCTCGCCCATCCTCTCCTCAAACTCCAACTATGAGGAGATGCTGGACATACTTGAATCCAAAATTGAGGGGATACGTTCAGCCATCTCAGCCCCATCCACAGCACACATCACCTCTCCCTCATAATCCACCCCCCACCCATCTCCCCCTGTACTCCTTTGACTCTATCTCTCCCTCCTCTCTCGCCGCCATTGTTCGCAAACTTAAACCCACTTTGAACCCCTCCAATTCAGCTTCTGCGCTGCCCACAGCACGGAAACAGTCCTGGTCAAAGTCACTAATGAGATTCTGAACATCTGTGATCAGGGATCCCTCTGCCTCCTTGTCCTCCTCGATCTCTCTGCCGCCTTCGACACTGTCGACCACTCCATCCTCATACACCGCCTCTCCTCTTTACTTAACCTTCGCAGACCTGCCCTTGTCTGGATCGAATCCTATCTCTCTCACTGTCTCCACTTTGTTGCCTCTAACAGTTTCTCCTCCAGCTCCCGCACTGTCACATCTTCCAGGGCTCTGTCCTTGGCCTCTCCTCTTTAATATCTATATGCTCCCCCTTCTTGACATCATCCGCAGACATGGGGTCACCTTCCATATGTATGAGAATGACATCCAACTCTATCTTTTTGCCTCCACCATCAACTCCAGGACCACTGCTGTCCTGACAGACTGTCTGTCGGACATCAAGTCCTGGATGAGGGCAAATTTCCTCCAGTTGAATATGAACAAGACTGAGGCCCTCCTGATTGGCTCGCGCCAGCGCCTCTGCACCTCAGGCTCTGGCAGCATCAACCTCCAGGGTTGCACATTACAACTCACCAAGTCAGTCAGGAACCTCGGTGTCTTGTTCAACCCTCAACTGTCTTTTTCCCCACATCCAAGCCATTACCCGCTCTGCCGTCCCTCACCTGCGTAACATCGCCCGACTCTGCCACTACCTCACCCCTCAGGCCACTGAAACTCTTGTTCATGCCTTCATCACCTCCAGCCTCGACTATGCTAACGCCCTACTTGTCGGCCTTCCCAACTCCTCCCTCCACAGGCTGCAGATAATCCAGAACTCTGCAGCCCGTGTCCTCTCCTGCACCAAACTCCATGACCCCATCTCCCCCACTCTCGCCCGACTCCATTGGCTCCCTATCCTTCAGAGGATCCAGTTCAAGATCCTGGTCCTCACTACAAAGCCCTCCATGGTCTCACCCCACCCTACCTCTGTGACCTCCTAACCCCCTACCAACCCGCCCGCTCCCTCCGCTCAATAGGCTCCGGCCTGCTCCACGTCCTCCGCCCCAGCATTGGCGGGAGAGCCTTCAGCCACTCTGCCCCCATCCTCTGAAATTCCATCACACAATCACTCTGCCTCGGCCCCTCCTTGGCCTCCTTCAAGTCCCATCTCAAAACCCTCCTCTTCGACCATGCTGTTGGCCACTCCCCTTCCCCTCCCCTCCCTTCTCCCCCCAACCCCAGCTTGAGTCTGAAATGCTGTACACTGTCCAGCGCCTTGGGACGTCCTCCCGACGTGAAAGGCGCTATACAAATGTAATCTTGTTGTTGCTTGTTAAAATGGTCACGAGAGGCACCATCAACTTTAGATGCTCTTGTGAATTTTGTCTGTGCACAGTTACCTGGTAAGGAAATGATCAATTTGCATCCGAGCCATCAGCCTGGTTGTCACCTTACATGTTTGCATATTCTTCACTGTTCTCTAAGGAAAGCTTCAGAAATTGGATCCACAAGGCATAGAAAACAATTGCTTAGCGCTTAATTTATTTAAAAGCAATTGGCTGCTGCATTTCGCCCACAAAATTCATAGTCAATCCACTTTACAGTATATTCTTTGAAGCGCTTTGAGACATCTCGATGACATGATAAGGCACTATATCAAATGCAAGAATTATTATTATTTATGCTTAAATGCTTAGTGATTTTATTTCTCATTTCTTTCAGGTAATGCGATTTTTAAAAAAAAACTTACGTTAAAAATGTTTTGAACAGTACAGAATTCTTTGTTTCCTATGTTTTTAAATTAAAGGAGACTTTGGGGTTTCTCGGCTTCTGATGGGATCATGTGACCTGGCCACCACATTCACTGGGACTCCTTACTACATGAGTCCAGAAGTACTGAATCACCAGGGCTATGATTCCAAGTCTGACATATGGTGAGTGGATGTTTCTTATGCTCTGATAAATTATTCTCGAAAGCTGACTGGCATGTAACTAAAATGTGCCCGAATCTCTTTTAGATCTACTTTCATGCAGCTGATCAGTCTACTCCAATTTATCAACTGTAAGGCAGTCAATCTTTTGTTAACTCTCGTTCACTGCTTTTGTTTGCCAGGATTTGAACAGCAGATCCACGGAGAAGTTAGTGATGCTGTTAAGGTTTTTATGTTTATTTTTCTCCTTTAATATCTGCCCACATAACCTCGTCTCCCAAAGGATTTTAAACTTCTTTCTTCTACTGGGGTATAGTTGAAAAATTGCTTGTCATGCACTGATGCCTCACCCAGGTGAACATCATTCATGTGTGAAAGTTGTCAGCCTATCAATGGGGGCAGGAGAGAGAGCTTAGTCAAAACCAATCCTGCCTTATCTTATTCCCCGCACATACCTTCCAACCGGGTTTTTTAGATGATGATCTGAATGCTGATGATCTGATTCCCATGAATGTTGTTTGATTTTTTTCTTCTCCCCCCATTAGCCAAGGCCATTTAAAGTTATGGTGTGAGCCTGGCTCAGTTGGTAGTACATTCAGTTGTTCCTCCCCAAAGCTTACTAACGCTTACAGAAGGTTCTAGGTTCAAGTCCCATGTAATATAGGTGGGAGGGGTGGGTGTGGGCCAGGGGAGGCATCAATTACATACCTCGCAATGTGCCACTTTTAAACAAAATCCTCACCTGTGAGTGCGGAATCAGCTCGGCTGTCTGCACACATGCGCCAGGTAAGGATATTTTTAGAAATGGGACGTTGGGAGGAATGCAGTTACATGTCCTTTTTTTTAAAGAAACATTTGGTGATTTAAAAAAAAAGTTATTAGAAAAAAATTGCAGAAAAACCTATTAGAAAGTGACGGCAGCAGCGGAGGTTCCAACAAAATGCAGAAGCTGAAAATATGATTAAGTTAATTTAAAACCGGGACTTACTTTCTGTTTTGCCCATAAAATATACAGTCAATTCAATTTACAGAATATTCTGTGAAGCACTTTGAGACGTCTTGGAGACGTGATAAGTCGTTATACCAAATGCAAGGATTATTATTATTATTTTTTTATTATTATTACATGGAGCAGGTCCAGTGATGTGCCACAGCCTCAATGTGTTGTATGTGATGAAATTCTAGCAAGTGACAGTGTGTGGCCCTGTAAGTGTTACTAACTATGGGGTGCAATTTTTTTTTTCTTAGCTCAGGGAGATTCACTATGACAAAGTTTGGACTAAGCGTTTCAAGATGCTACCCTGCAGGAAGGTTGCTATATAAATGCAAGTCGTTGTTGTTGTCTATACTGACACTCCAGTGCAGTGCTGGGAGTGTGCTACATTGTTGGAAGTCCTGTGGGCCTGTTAACACCATGTGCTGTCAAAGATAATATATTATAATAATAATAATCCTTGCATTTGATATAGCGCTTTTCACATCTACTAGACGTCTCAAAGCCTTCACAGAATAAGCTGTAAAGTGAATTGACTGTATATTTATGGGCGAAACACCCAAGGTACTATTCAAGAAGAGAAGAAAGTTTGAGGCATTCAAGTCTGTGTGCCTCTAGTCTGTACAAGGAGTTGCATTTACCTACAAAACCATTGGGGAGTTTTTTTAAAATAGCTTCTGGTTCAAAAGAAAAGCCTTATTAAGAACCCCTCCTCTTGCATCACTGGCTCCTCCCCAATTGATGGGATGAAAATGTGTCTCACTTTTACTCTGCTGAGTATGTTATTGTGTGCTAGGTCTCCAGAGCTTCCTCCTCCTCCTCCTCTTATTCTTCACCAGGGCAATGGATCACTTGTACTTGGCTTCTTTTCCAGCCATCCCTGGAAGAAATCAGCAAATCACCATGCGCTGTATCATGAGGATCAATCTGTGCATCACAGCATAGCATATTGGCAGGGCAACTCACTTTCAAACGTTTTTTAAAATAGTTATTAGAATACACAGAAAAGGCCATTCGGTCTATGCCGGTGTTAATGCTCCACATGAGCTTCCTCCTGCCCTTCTTCAACTAAGCCTTCAAGCATAACCTTCTATTCCTTTCTCCCTCATGTACCTATCTAGCTTTCCCTTAAATACATCTATGCTATTTGCCTCAACCACAACTTCTGGTAACATGTTCCACATTCCCACTACTCGCTGTGTGAAGAAATTTCTTCTAACTTCCCTATTTGATTTCCTTATTGGTGACTATTTTATATTGATGGCCCCTGGTTTTGGTCTCCCCCACAGGTGGAAACATCTTCCCTATGTCTACCCTATCAAAACCTTTCATCATTTTAAAGACCTCTATCAGGTCACCCCTTACCCTCCTCTTTTCAAAAGAAAAGAGTCCAAGTATCTTCAGCCTTTCGTGATAGGTATAACCTTTCATCCTTGTGAATCTCTCCAGTGCCTCTACATCCCTTCTATAATGTGGGGACAAGAACTGCACACAGTATTCTAAGTGTGATCTAACCAAGGTTCGATAGAAGTTTACCATAACTTCCCTGCTTTTCATTTCTATCCCTCTAGACATGAACCTCAATGCCTGGTTTGCTTTTTTAATGGCCTTATGAACCTGCGTTGTTGCTTTTAGTGAATTGTGTGTGTGTACCCCTAGATCCCTTTGGTCCTCTACCCCATTTAGGTTTTTATTTTCCAGGATGTATGTGACTTCCTTATTCCTTTTACCAAAATGTACCACCTCACACGTTTCTACATTGAAATGCATTTGCCATTTAACTGCCCACTCAGCAAGTTTATTAAGGTATTAAATTGCTGTAATTTGTTGCAGTTCTCCTCTGTATTAGCTACTCCCCCCAACTTGGTGTCGTCCGCAAATTTTTAAATTGTATTGCTGATTCCCGAATCCAAAATCATTCATGTATATTGTGAACAATAGTTGTCCCAATACCGATCCATGTTGAACACCACTACCCAACCCCTGCCAGGCTGAGTAGCTACCCTTTACCCCTACTCTCTGTTTTCTGTTTTGCAGCCAGCTTGCTGTCCATTCTGCTATTTTTCCCCTGACTCCACATGCTCTGACCTTATTCATTAGTCTACTATGTGATACCTTATCAAACGCCTTTTGGAAATCTAAATATATTAGATCTACTGTATTACAACAACAACAACAAAATTACATTTATAGAGCGCCTTTCATGTCGGGAGGACGTCCTAAAGCGCTGAACAGTCAGGTGTTGGGGCCCAAGCATAGGGGTGGTGTAGGGCTGAGGGAAGGCAGAGAGGTGGGAGGGAGACCAAAGGCACGGTCGAAGAGAAGGGTCTTGAGACCGGCCTTGAAGGATGCAAGGGAGGAAGCGAAGCGAAGGGACCGTAAAATGGAGTTCCAGAGTTTGGGGGCAGAGAGGCTGAAAGCCCGGCCACCGATGGTAGGGCGGGTCGGGCGGGCGACATGGTTTTTCGATTATATCTCCCCTTTGTATCTTAAATGTATTTATATTATTTTCGATCTCTTCTACTGTCATGTCCACCTAATCTATCTCCCTGGTGAATACTGAGGCAAAGTAATTCGTTAATATTTCTGCCATTTCACTGTCACAGCCTGTGAGTTTATCTTGTCCATCCCTTAGTGGCCCTATTCCTATTTTGATGTATCTTTTGTTATTTGTATGTCTGTATTCTACTACTCTTGTCTACTCTTTCTGTTATCGCTGCAAAGAATTCAATGAAGTTGGCCAAGCATGACCTTTTTTTTTTGAAATCCATGCTGTCTATTCTTTATTATATTTTTGGTTTCTAGATGTTTCTCTATTACCTTTCAGTAAGGATTCCATTATCTTTCCTACCACCGATGTTAAACTGACAGGTCTATAGTTCCCTGGGTTTGTTCTATCTCCCTTTTTAAATATAGGCATAACATCAGCTATCCTCCAGTCCTCTGGCACTACTCGCTTTTCTAATGAGTTATTATATATGTGTAATTGTGCCTCTGCTATCTCTTCCCTCGATTCTTTTAATATACAGGGATGCAATCCATCTGGACCAGGGGTTTTATCGTCTCTGAGTTTTGTTAGTTTTTCGATTATATCTCCCCTTTGTATGTTAAATGTATTTATATTATTTGCGATCTCTTCTTCTACTGTCATGTCCACCTAATCCATCTCCCTGGTGAACACTGAGGCAAAGTAATTGGTTAATATTTCTGCCATTTCGCTGTCGCGGCCTGTGAGTTTATCTTGTCCAATCCTCAGTGGCCCTATTCCTATTTTGATTTTTTTTATTATTTATATCTGCAGAGTATTTTACTATTTTTATATTCCTTGATAATTTAATTTCATAATTCCTCTTTGCCTTCCTAATTGTTTTTTTTGACTATTTTCCTGACCTCTTTGTTTTCTTTTTTGTCATGCTCTCCTTTTTTGTTTACGTACTTAGTGAACCGCCTCTTTCCTGAGTCTCAACTGTGCTCTTATGTCTTTATTCATCCTTGGTGTCTCATTATTGTTTAGCTTTGTCTTACTTTTTAGCTAAATATATTTCTCCTGGACTCTATTGATCACTGTTTTAAATGTTTCCCACTGCTGCTCCGTTTGTTTGCCAATAATGTTTTCCAGTTTATTTTCCCAAGTTCCATTTTCATCCCCTCAAAATCAGCTTTTTTTTCCAATCTATTACCCTGGTCTTTGTCATACTCATGTCCTTCTCAATCTTTATCTTAAACCTTATTAAGTTATGATCGCTATTGCCTAGATATTCCCCCACTCATACTTCTCTTATCTGCTCTGGTTCATTTCCCATTACTAAATCCAGTAGGGATTCCTCCCTTGTTGGGCCTCTTACATACTGGGTAAGAAAGGAGTCATGTACACATTGAAGGAATTCCATTTCCTTATCCCCTTTACCTACCTCTTCTGGCCAATTTATTTGGGGGTAGTTGAAATCCCCCATGATTATTACTCTTTGTCTTTTACTCATTTCCCTAATTTGCTTGAATATTTCTTCTT